TATAATGTAATTAATATTATATATGTTTAAAGTTACATTTATTTACAATTATAATTACCATTGTTGATATTTTTAAACTTACCAATATTATATTGTACTTAACATTTATTTTATAATTTTAATATAATGTAATTAATATTATATATGTTTAAAGTTACTTTATTAAATAATTACTATAAAATTAATTTATCCATATATACATATATTTAATATTTCATTAGTAAAATTTAATATTGAAATATTCTATAAATAAGAAGAAAAATAAATATTCTTCCTTTATTGCTTTTTTTTTTATTTGTTTTAACTTTAAATGTGGACCGAAAACCATCCGGATATACTTTTGAGGTCACGACAATATGGCAGCAAATATTTTAGGATTTACATCTGAGTCCTTTTTATACGGACTGTTATCGGTCCGGATATATTTTTGACGGCACGACAATATGGCAGCAAATATTTCAGGATTTACATTTGATTCCTTTTTATACGAACCATTATTGGTCTGGATATACTTTCGATGGCACGACAATATGGCAGAAAATATTTCAGAATTTACATCTGAGTCCAATATATTCAGACCGATAATCGTTTGAATATAGTTTTCATTGCCATTTAGGCATGTAAATTTTTTATTGTTACAAAAAGTATGTATATATTAAGATCGATATTGGTCTGAATATATTTTTTGTAATTATTTTCCCTGGTTATTCAGATCGTTTGCGATCTGTAATTATTAAATTATTTATTATATTTTTAATATCCAAACTGTTAACAGTCTGTAAATTTCAATTTTATACTCGCCCGTTGAAACTTTTTACCAAAGTATATGGTCCGATTTCGATGTGAATAGTTTAATTTACGGACCGATTTTTGTCGGTCTATATATTTTATTTTTTCATACCAAGTTTTTTCGGTTCAACTATTCATACTGATATCGGTCTGGATATTTTTTTCAGATCGATTTTTGGGTTATACGAACTGAATTTTTGCTTTGAATATTGATTCCCTGCAGTAGTCAATCACCAATGATGCCAATTTTGTCTGGTATTGCTGTTTTTTCTGTATGACTATAGCGTGTAGGAGGCAGAGGCGCAAGATTGGGTGCAGAGTGTAAGAGGCGCGGTAGAGTGCAAGCTGGGGTGCAGTAGGGCAAGCAAGGGCACAGCAAGGTGCAGCAGCAAGGGCACATGTTTGCAAGGGGTATGGTGCGGTGCAGTAGGGCGTAGGATCAGGTGTAGCAAGGCACAGGCTCAGGTGTAGCAAGGCGCAGGCTCGGGTGCAACAGGGCACAAGCTCAGGTGTAGCAAGCAAGAGGGCATAACAGGGCTTGATCGCCTTTGATGGCTGCTAGCTGAAAGGAAGGTTAAGGAGATGAGAGAGAAAAGGCCGAAAGTGGGGGGTGAGGAAGAAGTTTCGAGAT